TCCAAACTGAGTTTCTCTTCTAATCAGTGTTCTAACACCTAATCACTAAAATAAATAACATGTACTTTACAATCATCTGTTCTTCATTTATCATCTATAAGCGTATGTCTATTCTGTGCCAACCATAGGAGAAAATAAAGCAGGTAAAGACATTTATCACGATAGGACTAAAATTCATGCACATCTGATAACTGTAAAATCAACAGAAAGAATTTTACAAAGCAGGAATTGGTTGGAAATATTCCAGTTCAGATAATTGTGCCCACAAGATGTCAATAACCTCAACATTAATCTGTATAATGTATAATCTGTATAATGCATGTGTTAAAATACATGTGGAAAAAATAGAATGGCTTCACAAGCAGTTATATGGATACTTTTACTATGTCAAAAAACAAATGTAGAGCACTTGTTTATATTTTTCATTTGAGGATTGATGATAAAGAATTACATATGACTACAATGAAGAAGGTATCCCAGGATAGGCTTTGGGATAGCCTAGCAACTCTATCACTATGCTTTTAATTAATTCAATTGAAGATTGAAAAGATATAATGGTAACAATAATTCAGAAACCTAAGGAATGAATTTACCATAAACTAGTAAGTAGTGTCATATAGATTTCTTATGTGAATTATTGATAAAGATTCTGAGCTTTCTCAGGCTTCTAGAAAAGTAATAAAGCACCTCCTAGTTGAAATTCAACCCCTTTGTTTCTTTGACTCAAGGAGACATTACTGACCAATTAGCATTCTCAAGTATGAATTAGACAACTGATATTTGTTCTCTGTTTTCTAGGAAAAGGCATTCCATAGGTTTTATTTATTTATTTATTCATGTATTATTATTATTATTATGCTGGTCCCGGGGTTTGAACTTAGCCTGGGTGCTTTTCCCGAGCCTCTTTGTGCTCAAAGCTAGCACTATACCTCTTGAATCACAGTGCCACTTCTAGCTTTGAATAGTTTACTGGAAATAAGAGTCTCCAGGATTTTTCTGCCCGGCCTGGCTTTGAATTGAGATCCTCAGATCTCAGCCTCCTGAGTAGCTAGGACTACAGGTGTGAGCCAACAGCGCTTGGCTATTTCATTGGTTTTAAATATTCATATGGGTATTATATGATGCACTTAATTAGAGATATTTTGCCATTGGATTTGGGGTTGAGCAAAATTAAATAGGCATTCATATGGAATTACAAGGGACCTACTATGGTTGGGATTAGCATTTACTGCTCACTTATGAAGGAAGCTATCATATTTCAGTGGAATTTACTTATTCCCTTTATACATGTTATTAAATTATCATCCCTACCCTCTAGTCTAGGTATTTTTACCAGTTAATAGAAGAACAATGTTAGCCTAGGAAAAGCAAACACCTGGTTAAAGCCATACAACAAGGATCTAAATATTTCTTTCCCTCCTTCACTTTTTCCATTGTATGTTTTATCCCTTACTTCCACTGTGCTAGAGCAGATTTCTTTGGTAGGCTTTGCTATAATGTCTTTCTGGGTCAGTCAGATTTTAGAAATAAGAGCACATTCTTAGCCTTACCTACAAACCTTTTTGGAAAGGGAGCATTTGGCTTACACAGCCCATGGCTCCTATGGTGACTTTTTGTTGTTGTTTTCAAAGAATTTCTTCATAGTCCCACACTTATCTCCCTGTAAAGCCATGCCACTGTTGTCCACAGCTGTACTACTACCAACAGCTGCCCTGTATCATGTAAACTCTCTTAACCCTTCTGTGGATCTACGTTTTTACCACCGTTATTCCTCTCCCAATTTCCTTCTCTATTTAGCCAGCTGACTAAGAAATTTGCACATTAACGATTTCCTTATAGCTTACTCTTAGAGCAAACAGTTTCTGTGATCTTTTATACCTCACATCTGTTCTATATCCTGCATCATGGGCCTTGGCTCTATTTGTTGTGGCCATTTGGGTGATAGAGTTAATATACATTGTATTCCACATTTATTATCAATTCTTGTTTGGTGTATAAGTGACACATTACTCTGTATGACGTGTGAAGACAATGAAAGTAGGTGGTTGCAAGAGGGGAAACTTTACAATTTAAAGCCGATTTGTTTTTATTTATTTATTTTGTATATGTGTGTGAAGGTGGTTGGGCATTAACTTAGGAACTGGATGCTGTCCTTGGTGCCACACCTCAATTTCTTTTTTCTATAAAGAAAATCTAATATTTTGAGAAGGATAATTGGGCCACTGGTATTTTTTTTCTTGGCCTTTTATTTCAATATATGAAAAGCACTTGAAGTCATCTCACTATAAAACCAATAATAAACACAGAATCATACTAAGGAAATACTTTTTTTTTCAAGTGGTTATTTGCTTTAATAGATCTACCATTGGTCTACTTTGTCAAGAAAAAATAATATAGCATGCCGCTCTATACTTTAACTTGGAAATATTAGCTATACATTATTTTTAAGTTCTGATAATTACTTTGTAGTTATTATCTTTAAGCAACGGTACAAAAAAGTTCTAATTCAGCAAGTCAATTTATATCTTCAGTGCATTCTGATTACTGTTGTCTCTTCTTTCATTCTCCCCAAATTCTATCCTACTGTCATCTAACCCTTGAGCTAGCTGATTCTATCTTCACATATATACATTGAGTATTCAGACTGTATTCATTCCTCTCTCCATTCATTATTTATATTTTAAAAGTGGAAGATATAGGCATATTTTTTCATGAAAGAATGACTGACTTTAATACTTGAGTTAAGAAATAGGTCAACCATTCTGAGCCAATAGTTTGTTGAAACTATTAAATATTCTCAAATGTGTGTAGAATTGTATTAATGAGCAGATTTAACTAGAGACAATCCCTGAAAGAAAACTTTTCTGCTCTTCATTGGGGTATTTGGTTCATTGTTTTGTTTTTAGATATAGTTTTAAAGAGATTATTTGGGTGATATAATGCTTGGCCAAGTGCTTGTAATTTAACGGCTTTCAGTTAGTACATCATCTGCTTTTTCCTTTTCTGTCCTGTTAGTCTGGTCATTGACACTCTTACTTCCAGTTAGTCACAGTGTTCTTCCAAGAATGGTAGGTGTATAAGGAAAGATGGCAATTAAATATAAATCTTCACTAAGCTGAAGGAAGAATTTTTAAGAGATATCTGTGGATTATAGGTCAAGCTAGTCATCCATTATTATAGCTAATTAGAATTTAATAGGATTATACAAATTTCATTTTAAGTGAAGTAAGCCAGGCCCAAAGAAACATAGGTCCCTTGGTTTCCCTTATTTGCAATAACTAGTAAATGTCTGAGACAAGCAGAAACAGTCAGATAAGTTGATGTTAGGTGAAATGAACCCCAAGATAAGGACTCGAATGGTTTTTCTTTCTTGCTGTTGTTTCTAGCATATTTCTAAGATGATTTCTTTGTTGCTTTGTATGTCCCCCCCCCTGCTGTTTTCACTGTATTTGGTATAATTTGGGGAGGGGAAGGGAAAAACAAATCTTTTAAGTAGGGACACAGGTGGACCCATTGCAACCATGAGATGTACAAGATGTCGTGTTAAAAAACGAACTTTACAACTTCGGCATGGGAGAGGGGTTGGGGGAGAGATTGGAAGGGATGGGAAGGGGAAACAAAGGAGGAGGCAACAATGCTTGATAAGAAGTGTACTCATTACCTTGTTCATGTAATTGTAACCCTTCTGTACGGTATTTTCACAATAAAAAAGATCATGAAATAATAAAAAAAAATTCTCAACACTACTGTTGTATGGGTGTAGGCTTGTCCGCCAGATACCCTCTAATCTAAAACTTCAGTTCTAGAAGGAAATTCTGTTACTTTGCACATGCCCAGCGAATCACAGATTTCACTATCTTTTTTTCCCCTTTTTGATGGTGGTGGGTCTTGAACTTTTTGCTTGAGCTTTTTGCTCAGGGCTAGTGATCTACCATTTTCAGCCACAGTGCCACATCTGGTTTTCTGGTGGTTGGAGATAAGAGTCTCATGGACTTTCCTGCTCAGGCTGGCTTTGAACTCAGATTTTCAGATCTGAGCTTACTGAGTAGCTAGGATTTTAGGTGTGAACCACTAGTGCCTGTCAAGCCTTCAAGCTTTTCTATCCTCTATGATACATATTTTTTTACTGTGCTCATTAGATTATCTCTCAAATAACTGTTTAAATAAGAAGAATCGATTTGTTTATTTATATTTAGGAACTGGGGATTGAACCCAGGACCATTTAGACCTTAGTCTTTTGTTTTTAGGTGTTTCTTTTGAGGTAGTACCTTGCTAACTTTGGCTCGTCTGGCTTTAAACTTGCATTTCTTGCTTCTTCTCCCAAGTAGCTAGGACAGGCATGATTCTACCATACTTAGCCTCAGTATCTACTTTAATCTCTTGTTATTTTGTTTTGAGGGGGAGAAGAAGTTGAAACTGAGGTAATAATCAAGAAGTAATGTCTTTATTTGAAATGACTAGAAAAGTCAAATTTATCCAAACAGAAAGTAAATAGTTACATAGGGCTGGGTTTAGACATAGAGATTAAACATAAATTTGTATGACAGAGTTTATTCAGGAGACAAAAGTACTCTAAAGCTGGTTTATAGTGATAATTAAATCATTAAATGAGATTGCTAACATTCACTGAATTATATACTTAAAGGGATTAAGTTTTATGATATAAACATATACTTCAAATTAAATATCAATGGTATTAATTACAATAATATTTATTTATTTAATGCTAACTATATGCCAAATGACTGACTTAGATTATCTCATTTAATTTCACCACAGATGAAAAGGCAGATATAATGATTATCCCCTTCTGATACCTGCAGCTTGAGAAGGGGTAAGAGACTTGTCGGAGATCACAGGACTCCTGTGGAGTTGAGTGGGCATTCTTGCATGGTGGACTAAAATCTTAGCATGGCTGATTACAACTTTATGCTGCTAATTTGGAAACCAGGATTATCTTCATTTATCACCCCAGTATGACCAAAAAAAGAGTTCCATACCTCACTGTTGAGCTTGTTTATCTGCTGTTTGGTCTCCTCTGCTTTGATGAAGAGGACAGCAGCTCCAATTTCTGGGTCTGAAAAGCGACATATACAGAATGAGTTCTTTTTAGAAACAGATTGTATATTTGAGCACTCCAGAGTCATTGGAACATGGAGGGAAATCCACGCCATCACCTTTAGCCTGTTGTCTATGTTGGGTAGGTTCTATCTTCCCAGAATCAGACAAGTTTCTTGTAGTTCTCTGGATGGGACCCACATACTCTGCAACAAGGCACAGGTCACTGTGACCCTAGCAATTGGTGTGTCCACGGCAAACCTGTCTTTACTCAAGACTCAATTACTACTGTGTTCTAAGATGGCACATTTCTTCCTCTTTGATTCTTATCCAAAATGGCATCAGTCAGTGTCCATGCCATGCAAAAGGATGCTCTTCTTTTCCTCCTCTCATTCCCTCCCAAATATTTATTTCTTTGCCAAGGAGAACATCCTTTTCGGTTGCCACTTACATTTCAGGTACTAATCTGTACTGTGTATGGCCTATTTCTTCCTGTGTCATTTCAAAAGCTAATTTACTCCATTTCCTGGTTCCCTCTTCACTTTTTCTCTACTTTATTTTCCAAGGACATTTACTTCTGTCCAGGACAAAAAGTACAAATGAGTCAGTGCTTGTTGAAGAGAAAAAATATTTGACAAATTCAGTGGTTTTTCTCTCTCTCCCTCCTCCCCTCTCTCTTTAATTCTCTCTCTCTCTCTTTCTCCTCTTTCCTATTTCTCAAATTCTCATCAGTTATGAGTAGCAAACTTGTTCATAAGAGAAAAAAGTCACTCAACATGGCCCAAAGCAAAGTAATTATAATAGATTATTGAACAGTTATTTTGCAGAGATAATCCAACTATTCAATAAATGGCTGCCTGCTATAGACATCAGTAGATTGATACATGAATAAAGAAAATATAATAATTGACCTTCCTGAAGGTTAGATACCAGAAGGGGAAAGGGGCATTTAAAAAGTACTCAGGGCAGCTGAGTATGGTGCTTCATGTCTATGATCTCAGCCACAGTGGCAGGTTAGGTAGATGGAACATGGTCTGAGGCCAGTCCTGGCAAACAGTGTGAGACTCTATGTGAAAACAATAAGTAAAAACAAAAAAAACTGGAAGCATAGTTTAAGAAATAGAGTCCTTGCCGATTAAGCAGGAGGCCTGGGTTTAATTTCCAGTAGTAGAAAAAGAAAAAGGACGTAAGCAATAGATTTAGATTTCACACTAAGAGCAACATCTAAGGGCTTTAGGCAGAGAAGAATAACACAAGTACATTTGTAGTTTTATTTTATTTTTAATTAAACAATCATAGTTTTAAAAAGCTCAGTTTGCGATTTTTTAGTTAAACTTGTACTTTAAAAAAGTGCCATTTGTGCACAGTAAATGGTATGAGAACCAAGCATAAACTTTGATAGCGATGCAGTCCAAAGATGAATGTCACCAAGGTAAGATTAGGGGAGGGAAGGACAGAAAGCCTTTGTAGAACTGAGACACACTTAAGAGGCAGAATAAAGAAAATTTGTTATTTCAGTGGATGAGTGTATGGGAAGGTGATTGATAAAAGGAATGAAATAGCTAGAAAATAAGTAGTAGGTGGACAGACATGATGTGTACGTGGTATCTAGGTGACCTAAAAGGAAAAATGCATCACTGAGACCCAGAATTAGCTTCCATTGCCAGCTTGACTCTAATAGAATATTTTGAGCAAGGCAATAATGTTCATAAATAAATGGAACCAATAAATCACAACCATACTCCTTTTCCTATGTTCCTCCCTCATCCCACGAAAAATCTTACAAAGACCCTTTAGTGTCCCCAGAAAGTGACAAGTACTGAGAAAGATTGTTAATTGAGATGAAACAGACATATTTCAGAGCTCTACAATCAAAAGTCTTCTTTGACCCATTGCAACAATGACTTGCTAGACACTATGTTGGAAAAGATCTGTACAACATCAGTGCTGGGCATGGGGTGGGGAATGGATAGTAGGAAAAAGAAACAAAGGAGGGGGTAACAATGTTTAACAAGAAATGTACTTGTTGCCTTACTCATGTAACTGTAACTCCTCTGTTAAACATCTTTACAATAAAATTAAATAAAAAAGTCTTCTCTGGGCTTGTTTTTTCTTATAGAGGGATTTGGTAATTAGCAGGAGATCCCAACACTTCAATGGAAGGAGGAGAAGAGGATGGGTAGAGGTAAATAATCTTGCATCTATTAGTTTGTCGGTAATTATTTTTAATGTACTTATTGTTATTGTACAGGTAATGTACAGAGGGGTTACAGTTACAGTCAGATAAAGAATACAGTTCTTTTTTAAAAACGTTTTCTATTGTGAGAATACTGTACAAAGGAGGAGTTACAGTTACATGAGCAAGGTAATGAGTACATTTCTTATCAAGCATTGTTGTCTCCTCTGCTTTTCCCCTTTTGGACAGTATCACCCCCTTTCTTCATTCTCTCCCTGCTTTCCCCTCCCTTTTCAACTATTTGTATAGTTCATTTTCAACATAGTGTCCAGTGAGTACCACTACTGTATCTGTTCACACTTGTCCCTCCATTTCTGTGTCTCCCCATGCCCCCACTCAAACAGATACATGAACAAACAAGACAAAAGGAAAAGAAAATAAAAATAGTTTGCTGATAATTATTTGGGATCAAACCTGTTGACCTTTGTTCCTTATTCTATCTTTATCTAATACAAATGTATCTTCTTTAAATTTCATTTGTCATTTCTGGACTTCATTATGGTGGCAGATTTCTTTGTATGGACAATGTACTCAAGATTGAAAGTGAGGCAGAAGCCTGAGCTTTAGTTGAAGAAACACTTATTAATTCACCTTTGTGCAAAGTTAGTGTCTCATATAGTTTATAATTTCCAAGTTTCTTACACTGTTCTCAAGTTGTTTATTATTGGATAAACTGCAAATACATAACTTCTCACTGAATTATTGGTTAAATATAATTAGTGTTCTTACAGTATACAAGCAATATGGCATTTAGTTTAGGTGATGTTTTTGTAAATTGGTTTGAATTTATAATAGGAAAACATGGGTATTATCTGATAAACAGCTACCCTTTGACTTTCCTGACCAATTTAGCTTTGTTCGTAAGTGGCAGAGCATCTAGCCAGAATGACAAAAAGCTGCTATAAATCCTACCTTAATAGCTTAGAAAATGGCTCAGACTCACGGCAGTGGCACTAGTAGAATTTTAATATATGGAGATGGGAATGCAGTTGTTATGTCAAGTGATACAAGTTAAAAAGACATATTATTCTTCAGGGAAGATTAAACAATATACTTACCTCCAAGAGGAGGAGAAATTCTGGGCTCTGATCTAATTCGCTCTGAGGTAAAGTCAAAAGTTTGACTTTCTTCACTGCTGTTTCCATCTTCGATTCCATCAACAATTCTGTATAAGAGAAAGGAAACTACTGGTTGTGCATTGTGCATTTATATTCATGAACTCTAGTATTTCAAGAAGATTTTAAGAAGTTTGATGCTAACTTTTTACATTCTGGGTATTTCAGTGCTGTGCTATCCAATATGCCAGCC